AATGTATATGCATTAAGGAATATGAAGAATTTAAATCATCTTGTTTGGTTTGGGTGGTATAGGCTTAACTAGAACAAGTTTCATTTTAAACTGTTGAACTATCAGGGTCTTTCAAGATATTCTTTTGCAAGATGAGCATGGAAGTAAAATGGAACAAAATTAAGGAAATATATGAAACTTTGCTAAATTAGTACTAACGAAAGATATGCTGCTGTTCCTGCTGCTGCAGTTGATGGTGATGGTAGGGATGAATGATGGGGATGTTGGAGATACTGAACATGATGGTAGTGATGGTGATAATGGTCATTGGGAAGATGGAGATGGGGATGATGGGGAGGAAGAGGAAGAGGGTGGTTGTATCCTCTCAGGGTTTAATGCCAACCTCAAAGACAAACCCTTTGTTTGAAGCAATGTACAGAACACAAAATTCAAATTATTTTTAAAGAGTAGTAAGTAGAGGTTAGAGAGATGGTTCAGTGGTTAAGGGCACTTGTTGCTCTTGCTAAGGGTCCAAGCTTGATTCCAAGCACCTACCTGTGAACAGTGCACAACCTTCTCTGACTCCAGTTTCAGGGCATCCCACACCCATTCTAGCTTCCACAGACCCTAGACATGCATTTGTAAACAGACACACGTGCAGGCAAGCATGCACACACATGAAATAAAAATAAGTAAATTTCAAGTGGTAATACCAGAACAAAGTTGAAAAATGTACAGTGGTAATTCAGCACTTCCTTTCCTATCTTCAAAACAACCCTTATTGATAAAACTGAGATTAAAGTTATTAAGTAGCTTTCCATAAATCGAGTGTTTGGTAGAAAGAAGCTTAATTGTAACACAACCCTGGGATTTTGTTTTGTTTTGTTTTGTTTTGTTTTGTTTTGTTTTTCTGGATTGTTTGAGGAGGCAGTTTTTATTTATTTATTTATTTATTCAGCTTTGTGGGGGGCTCTCATTACTTGGTTCTGTTTGTCTTCTTGTGGAGCTCCTGTCCCCTTGTGGGTCCTTGTATCCTTCCCCTCACTCTTATACAAGGCTTCCTGTGCTTTACATCTGTTTCCAGTAGCTGGATGGAGCTGCTCAGAGGACAGCTACACTAGGCACCTGTCTGCAAGCATAGCAGAGTATCATTAATTGTGTCAGGGGTTGGCAGTCTCCAATGGGATGAGTCTCAGGTTGGGCCAGTCATTGGTTGAACATCCCCTTAATCTCTGCTCTATTTTTGTCCCTGCTCATCTTGTAGCCAGGATAAATTTTGGGTCCAATTTTTTTTTTTTTGTGGGTGGGTTGGCATACCCCTCCCTCCATTTGGAGTCCTGTCTAGTTAGAGGGTGGCCTCTTCAGTATCCGTGATTCCTGTTACTAGGAATCTCAGCTAGAGTCACCCTCATATCCTTCCAGGAACCTACCCTGTCATAGGTCTCCAGAGAAGTTCCCACCCAAGTTTCCCTTCTCTCTGAAAGCTCTCTGTCTTCCCGCCCCAACTATGCCCAGTTCTGATATAGACCCTCATTTCTCTCCATGCTCCCTCTCATACTCTGTTCCCTCTCTTAAGCTACTTCCACTGTCTGTTCTATCTCTACTTCTAAGTGGGATTTAAGCATCTCCTTCGGTTCTCCTTTTTACTTATCTTATGTGAAACTGTGAGTTGTAATATGATTGTCCTATACTTTAGGGCTAAAATCCACTTATTAGTGAGTACATACCATGTATGTCTTTCTGAGTCTGGGTTAACTCACTCAGGATGATCTTTTCTAGCTCCATCCATTTTCCTACAAATTTCATGATTTCCTTGTTTTTAAAAGCTTTCCTCCCCAACTTGCTTGTTGGTCATGGTGTTTTGTTGCACTAGTAGAAACCCTCAAAGAGCTCAACAGACAAAGTCAAAGACCTGACTGGGTGTTCTCAATAAATTTTCTGCTTCCCTAAAATCTGAAGGACACATCCTGGCTCCAACCGGGAGCCCAGGGAATCCTGACAACACTAAGATTTTAATACTTCGAGATTTCTCTACTAGTGTCCCCATTTTCTGTTGTCAAGTTTGGGGGAAATATTTAAAATAAAAGACAAAACACTGTGCTTGGGTATCAGGTTACAGGAAGCAGTGGGAGAAGAGAGCAAGGGAAAATCCTGGCCACTTCTAAATCAGTGTGAGCAAGGGAGATGGGAGACAATTGTGAGTAGGGGGTCAAGAGAATGTAGTGGGGTAAATATGACTCAAAGTACAGTGATACATATATATGTATATATGAATACGTTGGGATGATACCCACTATTTGTATACTAACTAAAATAGTATTTTGATTAAGTGGGAACTGAGGAGGGATTTAAATTTTGCTCCGTTGCTCAGTGCCCCTCCCCTTGGTTAACATAAAAAGAAAGTTTTACAGCACTCCTCTGCATCTTTATAAAAGCATGGTTTGACTCAGATGAGGGTTTCTCAGCAGTGGCGCTGTTAGCATTTTGATCTAGAAACCTCCTTGAGGTGAGGGCTGTCCTGTGCAAGTAGTCTGATTAGTTGAACTGCCAGTCTCTGCCCTCACTCTACCCCACTGCACCCTGTCAGACTGGAGCAACCAAACATGGCCCCAAATACTGTCAAATGCAAATACTTCGGTGCAATGTCAGCCTTCTGCCGAGAGCCATTGATTAAGAAACACCTTGGAAACTCTTAAAACTTGTTGGATAATAATCTTCCCAGCATGCAAATCCCTAAATAAATCTCGTCTTCCCCTACAAAGTGGTCACTTCCTTATTTTAAAGGCGGAGCCTTGTTGCACAGGACGACGTGGGTTATCTGTCCGGTTTCCGTTCACAAGCTCCTATCCCGATTTTCTGAGCTGTTTGATCTTTACTGTCAACAGCCTACAGATCTCTTTAGCTGAGGCGCTTATGCCCTCTTGTGGCCGGAATCAGTAACACAAGTTGGCGGCAAAATCAAAAACGTTAGTTCGAGGATAATTTATAAAATCTTTTCCCACCTATAAAATGTCTAGTTTTCCAAAAACGTGTATGAAAATAGAACCTTCAGGATAATTCTCACCAATGAGAGACATTACAAAATTTAATAAAATACTTTTTAATGAGTTGCTTACGGAGCACTTTAAAGCTAGTAGATTTGTCTCAACTAGGGTTTTTATTACTGCAACAAAACACCATGACCAAAAAGCAACTTGGGGAGGACAGCGTTTATTCAGCATAAACTTCCGTATGTCTATTCATCAATGAAGGGAGTCAGGACAGGAACTCAAATGGGGCAGGAACCTGTACGAAAGAGCTGACTCAGAGGCCAGTAAGGGATGCTGCTTAATGGCTTACTCCCCTAGGTTGCTCAACCTGCCTTCTTAGAGAACCCAAGACCGCCATCCCAGGGATGGTACCACTCACAATGAGCTGGACCCTCCCCCATTGATCACGAATTAAGAAAACTCCTCACAGCTGGATCTCATGCAGGCATTTTCTCAACTGAGGCTCCTTCCTCCCAGATGACTCTAGCGTGACACACAAAACCAACCGATACAATGTTGTTTAAAAAAAAAAGAAAAAAAAAGACTTTGAATACTGAGTTAAAAACAACAACAGTGAAGCATCCAAGTGGGACATCGGTATCTCATGCCCTTCTCCCCAAGGCTGAGGGAAGGGGATGGAAAGATCAAGCCTTTTTTGTATGTCTATGTGATTGTACATGTATTTGTATGTTCGTATGTATTGAGATAAGGTGCAAACATGTATTAAACTCGCGTGCTGTTTCTCAAAAAAAAAAAAAAAAAGAGCCGTTGTTGAGAGAAGTTTGCTACAAATGTCTTCAGGATTTGACATTCGCAGTTTTGAACTCACAGCAGCTGTGGCGTGTTTCCTGCATAGGCCCACATAAGATCAAGCCAATCAACACTACAGCAAGGAGGGGCCAGGTGCCCCACCTCCAGCTGAGGAGCTATCAGCAGCTGATGGTCCATAGGGGAGGAAGAATCCGTTTTCTTCAGATTTGTGAGCCATGCTAGGTTGTCCCTGCTCCAGTGGGTGGCGCCCTACACCCATGGAATACAATGGTTTCTTTAAAATGGAGGCGAAAGACGAAACGCAAAGAAGGGAGTTCTAATATGACATGAATCCATTTTATTCACATATGCAAATACGGGGATGAAACAACGAAGTCCCCAGACAGTAAGTGACCTGTGCAACCTCACACAGGAACATAACAGGATTGGGAGGGCTAAGCTAAGGATTCAAACGACAAGTGTTTGCCTGAATGTTGCTTTAGGGCTTCAGGATGGCTTAAAAATAATACAAATTTTGGTTGGTTGGTTGGTTGGTTGGTTGGTTGGTTTGTTTGTTTGTTTGTTTGTTTGTTTGGCTAAAATTGCCAGAATTTTTATCATTATATACCTTTGGAAAATGGAGAGAGACTAACTCTCAGATATTTGTCCATCAGACTCTAATATTTTGTCTCTTACATACAGAGCCAATGCTCCAAATTCAGGGGAACAAAGGATGAAAATGCTCTCTCTGACCCCTTCAATCAAGAAATAGTAGGAAAGGATTAATTTCACTTCTAAGGTCATCACTTAGGGAAGTCATGGCAGGAACTCAGGGCAGAAAACTGGAGGCATAAACTGGAGCCCAGGCTATTAGAGGATCCTTACTAACTGGCTTTTTCCTCGCTGTTTACTCAGCCTGCTTTCTTATACCATCCAGGGCTGCCTGCCCAGGGATGGCGTCGCCACAGCGAGCTGGCCTTCCCACATCAACCACTCACTAACAAAATGCCCTACACACTTACCTACAGGCAATCTGATGAAGGCATTTTCTCAATCTAGATTACTCTTCCCAGACAACTCAAGCTGTGTCAAGTTGTCAAAAAAAAAACTAACTTAACCTAACCATGACATTTAATCTGCTCTTGCAGTTTTATGCAAAAGTAAAAGCATTTACAAAATATTAGAACATGACTCTTCGAGCTCTTTTTACTCAAAGATATTTTTTGTTTGCTCTTTTTGCAGTATTTCAAGATGTGCATGTCATGATATTTGTTGGGTTTGGCTTCCTCATGACCTTCCTGAAGAAATACGGCTTCAGCGGTGTTGGTTTCAACCTCTTTCTTGCTGCGCTGGGGCTCCAGTGGGGTACAATTATGAAGGGACTCCTTCACAATCACGGACAGAAATTTCACTTCGGAATCAAGGAGTGAGTATTTTTTAATGTGAACACTTGTGCCCTCACCTTTAAAGTCCTATGTTGAAATCTTAATTTCTTAATTCCTACACTGGGAACTAATTAAATCATGAAGGCAAAACCTTAACAGTAGGATTAGTGCGCCGTTCAAAGATACGACTTACTTATTGTGCTTTTTTTTTTTTTTTTTTTTTTTGTGCAATTTACTCTTTTTTTTTTTTTTTTTTTTTTTTTTTTTTTTTAGTGCAATTTACTCTTTATTCAGTTTACTCTTTCTTTCTCCCTCAGTATGATAAACGCAGACTTTAGTACAGCCACAGTTCTAATTTCTTTTGGTGCTGTCCTGGGAAAAACAAGCCCCATCCAAATGCTGATCATGACAATTCTAGAAATTGCTGTCTTTGCTGGCAACGAACATCTGGTTACTGTTACATTTGAGGTAAGGGTGAGAAAATATGTAATTGTTATGCTCTGACTACCAGTTATGGCCACCACAAGCCATGGGTACCCAGTCTACATAAGGGCATGGGTGCCACTAGACCAAATAGTAAAAAAATAGCCATTCTGTAGGGAGCGCTTATTGCAAAACAGGATAAGGAGAGTTGCACACTGTTTCATGTCATCTTTACGGAGCCCAGGAAGGTAGGTATCACTGTTTCTGCTATTTCTCCACAGTAAAATAATCAAAGATACTAAGTGATTTGTCTGAGTCTGGACGGAAGCCATATTTTTAACTCTATAACTCATTTGGTTGTACTGTGTATCAGTACCTCATTCCCATATTTAAACAATTATGTAAATAGTCCCAGATAAAGCCTTACGTAGGATCAAGTTTTTTTTTTTTTCTCCACGAAAATGTCACTGATTCCCTTGAAGATAATAGAATATGTCTGACCACTCTGATGTATATTTTTATGTATTTGGACTTGTATTGGACATTTGATTCAAGTAATAATATTTTAAATTTCTTTCAAGTATTGATGATTTACCAACAAGCAAAATTAGTTAAGGTTTCCATCTTTATAAAGCTTAAAGTATAGTAGTTTAGTCAACAATCATATAATTATATATCCTCTTTATGATAATTTTTGTTTGTGACAAATTGTCTGAGAGACTTAAGGGAGGAAAGATACATTTTGATTCATGCGCTCATAGTTTTCAGCCTATAATCCCTTGGCTCCATTGTTTCTGGGTCCATACTGAGGTAAACCTCCACACTGGTAGCAAGCAGTTATTCTGCTGGTGGATTGGAAACAAAGAAGCCAGAAATAAAAATAATTCTACTAAAACTACTTCTTGTAGTTTTCACCAAGTTCTAATTGCCAATTCAGTCATAGACCCTTCAGTCAATACTTCCATTGAAGGTGTAAAATCCCTCATGATACTATCAAGTTCCCAAATCCACAGCTCTGAACACTACTGGGCTGGGGACCAAGCTTCAACACATGAGCCTTTGGGAAACATTGCATAGCTAAACTGTAACTTTCACATCCTCCCAAAAACACAGAAAATACATAGTTGGAAGTGGGGTTATGAGAAACATTATTGACTGTAGATTAAAAAGCAGGGAAGGAGTTCTCTGAGGAAGTGACAATGAAGCTAGTATGTTGAAGTTTCACAAGTCACTAAGGAGGACAAATACACTAATGCCAAAGAAATCTCAAGAACAGAAGTTCATCAGTGGTAGGGGGCTAAAGGAGAAGTTGAGTTGCAGTAGATGAGAGAGGTTGTCCAGACACTGGAGAAGCTATCTCGGTAAAAAGATGAGATGAACTCAAGGACCCATGCTTGGCATGTTGCTTAAAGAAGGACTAATTTGGTGGATTCTGGGAAGGAAATAACAGGAAGGGTTCTTTTGCTACAAATAGGTGAGCATTTACAGGACACAGACTTACATGGTGTCTGTAAAGTACAAATATAATTAACGGTCACCTATCTCTCTCCTGAAACCATATGGTAAAGAGAAGTAAGGTTCCTGTATGGAAGTGTTTAGAAAAGCCGAACGTTGTGGATATATATGCCAGTGTGATAACTGAACTCAATTCAGTGAAATTTCTCTTTAAGGCCACTGGATCTTTTTGTCTAGTCAAAGATGGAACAAACCAAGAGCCTGTTCTGCTAACACAACTCTAAAAATATTAAATTGGTGATGTTTTCATTCACCTAGCTTAGGTTGCATAAGGAAATGCTCCTGGCTCAGAATCCTGAACGTTCTCTCTAGAAACATAAAATGGAGAACACTTGATTAAATCTGTATCAAATCCTAAAAAAGGAAACAAAACACATCTCTTCAAATCAGTATTGGAATTCAGCTGGTTTTCATGTTAGTCCACTTTAAAAATATATAGAACCTTGTAGGGAAAATGACCTTATTAAGGTTCAAGTCTTTGAGCTATAGTTAAATGAACTTTAGCTGTAAGCCAAATAAAAGGAAGCCATTTTGTTTTGTGTCAATACCTCATAGCTCACTGAGCATTCCTTGAACCTGAAATAGCCTAGCATGTACTGTGTACCCAGTAAGGACTTGGCATTTTAGGAATATGGTCTCACCCGAGTACCAACAAAACTCTATCACAGTTTTACAAATCGTGAAGTTCAGGAACATTTAGCGATTTTTTTTTTCAGCAGCCACATCACAAGAAGTATCTCACCATTGCATGTCTCAAGAGTTTGTAGTACATTTTCTTATTTTTTTTTACCTTGTTTTCTCTATTTAACATCTCCTCTTTCATTGCATTTTTGCCTGTAATGAGACCCAATTTTACCCCATTTATGCAAATGCGATTTTATCCCATCAGGCCTCTGACATTGGGGCATCAATGACAATCCATGCCTTTGGAGCCTACTTTGGCTTAGCTGTAGCCGGTGTGTTATATCGGCGTAACCTCAGACGTGAACATGAGAATGAAGAATCAGTGTACCACTCTGACTTGTTTGCCATGATTGGTGAGTAAAATGAACCTGATGCTTGTCTGTTTGGTGTGCACGTATAAAATTGCTCAGATGCCTTCTTTGGAGATCACTTTGTTTTATGGTAGGTAAGTAGTACCTGCTCTGCCTGGCTTTTAGATGATGAAGCTGAAAAATCACAGAGGTCAATTCCCAGAGCAAACTATCCTCTAATGTGGTCTTTCGTATAATAACTAATACCATTCATGGTTTACAGGAACACTTTTCCTGTGGATATTTTGGCCCAGCTTTAATTCAGCCATTGCTACACCTGGCAATCATCAGTTTAGGGCCGTCTTCAACACATACACGTCACTTGCTGCCTGCGTGATCATAGCCTATGCTTTGTCCAGCCTTGTTGAACGCCGAGGCAGGCTGGATATGGTAAGTGACAATTGAATCAATGGAAACTTCCTTAATGTCAACAGTTGCTCTATAAGAAAGTCACTATGCATCAGAGCTAAGCCACCATTACACACTACTAAACAGCAGGCTTTAGAGGATGTTTTGAAAATAATATTTATTTTTTTCACTATCTACACTACTAGATGAAGTCAAGGAATTTGCAACTTTGTGGAGTATGTAATCACATAAAAATCAGACATACAGGGTTTCTTTTTCCTTCAATATAAAATTAAGTGCTCTTAGCCAGGTGTGATGGCTCATGCCTGTAATTCCAGCACTTGAGGAGGTAGAGGCAGATAGATCTCTGTGAGTTTGAGGCTAGCCTGGTCTAGAAAGTGAGTTTAAGACAGTCAAGGCTACACAGAGAAACCTTATCTCAAAAAACAAAAGAAGGAAAAGAAGGAAGGAAGGAAGGAAGGAAGGAAGCTGAGTGCTCTTAACTCCACAAATATTTTTCATCACTACTTGAATTGTCAAAAAAGGTAAGGATGGATGTTGGTTCTATTTTCCCATCTGCAAGATATCTCAAAATAAGAACAATTCTGTGCAGTCAGTGGTAAAATTTCCTTCCTTCAGTAGATGGCCCCACACTCTTGTATGTATGAGCAGCACCAACTGGACTTATATGGGGTATCAAAAAATGTGAAGTTGGAATGAGATATGTTAATAACACATAATACAGGAGAAGTTGGAGGAGGAAAATAAGAGGTAGTTATGATTATATTTCATTGTATACATACATAATTTTTAAATATTTTAATTTTAATTTTTTATATTAATTACAGTTTATTCACATTGTATTACAGCTGTAGCCCCCTCCTTCATTCGCTCCCAATCTGACCCTCCTTCCCTCGTTTCCTCCCATTCCCCTCTCCAAGTCCACTGATAGGGGATGTCCTCCTCGCCTTCCATCTGACCCTAGCCTATCAGCTCTCATCAGGACTGCCTAGATTGTCTTCCTCTGTGGCCTGGTAAGGCTGCTCCCCATCAGGGCTAGGTGATCAAAGAGCCAGCCACTGAGTTCATGTCAGAGACAATCCCTGTTCCCCTTACTAGGACACCCACTTGGATACTGAGCTGCCATGGGCCACATCTCTGCAGGGGCTCTAGGCTATCTCCATGCATGGTCCTTGGTTGGAGCATCAGTCTCATCAAAGACCCCTGTGCCCAGAATTTTTTGTTCTGTTGCTCTCCTTGTGGAACTCCTGTCCCTTTCAAGTCTTTATATCTCCCCTTTTTTTCATAAGATTCCCTGTATTCTGCCCAAAGTTTGGCTATGAGTCTCAGCATCTGCTTTGATACACTGCTAGATAGAGTCTTTCAGAGGCCCTCTGTGGTAGGCTCCTGTCCTGTTTCCTGTTTTCTCCCTCTTCCAATGTCCTTCACATTTGCCTTTCTGAGTGAGGATTGATCATCTTACCCAGGGTCTTTCTTCTTACTTAGCTTCTTTAAATGTACAGATTTTAGTATGTTTATCTATATTATATGTCTAATATCTACTTATAAGTGAGTATATACCATGTGTATATTTCTGCTTCTGGGATACCTCACTCAGGATGATCTTTTCTAGTTCCCACCATTTGCCTACAAATTTCATGATTTCCTTATTTTTAATTGCTGAATGGTATTCCATTGTGTAAATGTACCACAATTTCTGTATCCATACCTTAGTTGATGGTCATCTGGGTTGTTTCTAGGTTCTGGCTATCACAAATAAAATGGCCACAAATGTGGTTGAGCAAATCTCCTTGTTGTGTACTTGAGCATATTTTGGATATATGCCCAGGAGTGGTATAGCTAGATCTTGAGGAAGCACTATTCTTCAGTGGCTGAGAAAGCACCAGATTAATTTCCAAAGTGGTTGTACAAGTTTACATCCCCACCAGCAATGGTGGAGGGTTCCCCTTTCTCCACATCCTCCCTAACATCTGTTATCACTTGAGTTTTTGATCTTAGCCATTCTGATGGGTGTAAGGTGAAATCTCAGGGTTGTTTTGATTTGCATTTCCCGTATGACTAAGGACATTGAACATTTCTTTAAGTGTTTCTCTGCCGTTCAATATTCTTCTATTGAGAATTCTCTGTTTAGCTCTGTACCACATTTTTAATTGTATTACTTGATTTGTTGCTTTTTAACTTATTGAGTTGTTATATATTCTGGGTATTAGCACTCTGTCAGATATAGGGTTGGTGAAGATCCTTTCCCAGTCTGTAGGCTGTCATTTTGTTCTGGTGATACTGTCCTTTGCTTTACAGAAGATTTTCAGTTTCATGAGGTCCCATTTATTGATTGTTGATCTTAGTGCTGTTGTTGTTCTGTTCAGGAAGTTGTCTCCTGTGCCAATGAGTTCAATGCACTTACCCACTTTTTCTTTTAACAAGTTTAGTGTGTCTGGTTTTATATTGAGGTATTTGATCCACTTGGACTTTAATTTCATTCAGGGAGATATTTAAAAAAAAATTTAAAAACAAAAGAAAATAATCCCAAATGAGACTCTAGAAAAGGAAAATGACAATTTGGATGGTAATAAAATCTGAATAAGATCTTTAACAGGATTGAAGCAATGACAGTTTTATTTTTATAGTTTTATTTCTGTATATGTATTTATTTATTGATACTTTTATTTATGTAAGGTGTCAATGCTGGAGAAATACAGACATATAGAAATTCTCTAAAGTAATTTTTTAACTTTTATGTGCCTGAAAAGTAACATAACATATTTTTAGTACAACTCCTTGCCTTGAGATCCTGGCCTGTGAATTAGAGAAATGATGGTATTGGGAAAAACCTTAGACCAAGCGCTCTCCTTTTTCAACCTAGGGGAGGAAATAAATGTTGTACCTTATGTACATATTTTTAAGATTTGTGTATTTTATTTTGTGTTGATGGTCGTTTTGCCTGCAAGCATGTCTGTGTACCACATGCATGCATGGGAACCAGAAAAGAACAATGGATTCCTTATAACTGGAGTTACAGACAGTTGTTAGCCAATGTGTGGGCTCTGGAAACTGAACCAGAGTCCTCCGATACAGCTGCCAGTGTCCTTAAATACTGATCCATCTCTGAAACCACTATACCGCATATTTAAAGCCAGGTTGAGAACATATATTTCAGCTCTTTACAATTTGTGTCATGAAAGACAACTGGCAACACATTATTTTAAAAACCATACTCAAAAGAGTCGGTTTTTTAAATGACAGATAACCAACTCTTTGGTTACACCAGCCAGACTGTGGCTCCTGGGAATTCTGATGAAGTAAAATTAATTATTTCTAATAGCAGACATTTCAGACCAGATTATGTCTCAAAGACATAAAGAAAAAAAATATTCGTGTACATGTCTTTCAACTAACAGCTAACATAGGTATTCACTGAACTCTGCCTTCCTTGTGGTTTGTTTGTTTGTTTGTTTGTTTGTTTGTTTGTTTTAAATTGCCTCATACCCCCTCATTATTCATTGTTTTGCCTCCATGCAGGTCCACATTCAGAATGCTACTCTGGCAGGAGGTGTCGCTGTGGGCACGTGTGCAGACATGGAAATCAACCTATACGGTGCTATGACCATTGGCAGCATTGCAGGGATCGTCTCTGTGCTTGGATACAAGTTCCTTAGTGTATGTATGATAGACATATTGAACCAAACCTTAAATCTGCACCAGCATCTTCTCATGTCCCACCAGTGGGACCAGGGAAAAGAGAAATGGTACTTCCTTTTGTACATGCCTCTGACTGGAGGCCATTTGTCTCTTTCCGAAATACTGCTCATACTGCAGTGCCTCTCTTTCCTGACTTCAGTGCGGCAGGAGAGAATATTGTAGTGGTTATTAGTAATTTAGCATGCAGTCAATGTTAAGGGCTTATGTTAATTTCTCTAGAAAAGTCCCAGAGAATATTTTATTCCTGTTGTTTATTTGTGGGTGTTCCAGAGGATGTTCTCCTCCATTTGCTTATTTGTGAATTTTGTGTTCTAATGAGGCAAATGAGATGTTTTTAGGAGGTGGGAAGATGAAGTCATTCCTTTCCATCCCAGTCACTAAGGACTGTTTTATCGCCACTTGTATTTAAAGTGTTTGACACACAAGTGCTTCAATTTCAAAAAAGAAAGTGAGCCTTAGATAAAATTTCCTCTTCTGAGTATAGGAAGAAGTGAAGCCAGAGAAGACAACGTAGCAGACAGCAGATATATAGGGAAAAAAAAAAAAAAGAGAGAGAGAGAGAGAGAGAAATACAGGTTGGTTTGTTTGTTTGCTTGTTTGTTTGTTTTTCAAATGTACTATGTGTGGAATTTACACTAATAGGTAGCTTTTAGCTGTTCAAATGAGTAAATCAAAAGTTTTAAAAGGAGGATATATGGACATGACAGAGATAATAATTGAGTTCAGTATAGTAACGTCTTAACCACCTGTCTGTATTGTGGCACGCCATAGGGTGTGCTTTATATGTACAGAATGAGAACGTACAAGCAGATTCTGTGCAGCTGTTTGCTTCCGTATGGAGCTCTGTGTGCCTTACAAAACCCTGCCCTCCCTCTCTTTCTCAACCTTAGCCACTGCTCGCAAATAAACTGATGATCCACGATACATGTGGAGTCCATAACTTGCACGGCTTACCTGGCGTGCTTGGAGGCCTTGCCAGCATCGTGGCCGTACACCATGGAAGCTCCGGCATGTGAGTGAAGACCACTGGGTTTTCCTTCTCCCTGGTCCTGTGCTTTGTGATTGTGTTTGTTGGCATACATAGTGATAGGGGTGGGCCCCTCATTCTTGTTGTTGTGGTTGCTGCTACCACATTAGGCTCAGAGACATAAATGAGAGAATGCCGTTAACGAATCTTTCCTAGGCTTTCGCAGACTCACTCCTTTAACCCTTCATCAACTCACTGCCTGCCTGCTGTGAGAGGAGAACTGTGCTGGTGTTACCACCACATCCAAAGTTCACCTGTCGTTTATTCAGTGGCCCTTTCACATTCCACAGCCATTTACTGCTTTCTTCTCTCCCCAACTTACAATGAATTTTTACAGTTTTGCATTCATCCATTTACCGTGTGTGGCAAATGCACGCGTGCATGAGGATGCAGGAAAAGGTCAGAAGACCACTTGCAGGAGTTAATTCTTTCCTTCCTCTATATGGATCCAGGGATCCAACTCGGGTTGTAAGGCTTGGCATCAGTCTTCCTTACCCACTGTGCCTTCTCTCCAGCCCAATACTTTATTATCTTTGTTTTAAGGCAATGTTTCTCAATCTGTAGATCAGGACCCATTTGGAAGCCGAACAATCTCTTCACAGAGGTCACATATCAAATACTCTGCATATCAGATATTTACATTATAATTCACAACAGCAGTGAAATTAAGTTACGAAGTAGCAGTGAAAATAATTTTACGGTTGGGGGTCACCACAACAGGAGGAACTGTATGAAAGGGGCACAGCATTAGGGAGCTTGAGAACCACTGTTTTAAGGTAACTACCTCTGGTATTATCAATGCATTTTTCAATTTCTTCATTGCCTTTTCTATAACATATATTCCAAGCTTAGCTTTCCTGATGTTATTAATGGACCTTCTAATTTCACCAAAATTGTTTATTTAGAGTGCTGAGGAAATGGCAGCCATGTTGTTTTAGGCATTATCCCACCTACCCTGTCTAGAAGAGAGGCCTAAGAACCAATATTCAAAAAGTGTTTATTGAATGAATCAAATCAAGGATCAATTTTTGAAAGTCCTCTTTTGAAAGAATGCTATATTAACCATGGCTAGTAAAAATAGAAAGGAAGAAAAAAGCATAAACAGTGACTATACATTTGCTTGTATGTAAAATAATACTTTGTCCTCAAGATGACAAACACACATACCTTCAAGTAGCTAAGGTCTGTTTGTTGTCATTCATTGTTAGGAAAACCTCTAATTCTTTATTTTGATTTCCTAGGTCCACTGTGGCTATGCAGGCAGCAGCCCTGGGCACTTCCATAGGCTTAGCAATTGTTGGAGGTTTGATTACAGGTTTGCATCAAAACTGAACATTAAGCTGGGTTTCGTGGTACAGGCTTGTAACCGCAGCCACTTGGGAGGTTAATTCGGGAGAACTGGTACTTCTAGACCATTGTAAAATTACCTCAGAATAGTAGGAATAATAAAATGCTAGTACCCCATTTCTCCATTACTTAGAAGAAGAGATGCAAATTCATTGATAAATTCTAAAATATGCTAAGCTTCTGGTAACTACTATATCAGCTAAAAAAAAAAAAAAGAAACTTTTCATGATAGTATTTTAACTACTTAGTTAGGAAGAAACCTTCATCCTTTTTTAAATTTTATTTTATTTTATTTTTTTATTATGAGTTACATTTTATTAACTGTATCCCAGCTGTATCCTGCTCCCTTATTCCCTCTCAATCCCACCCTCCCTCCCTCATCTCCTCCCTGCCCCTTTCCAAGTCCACTGATTTGGGAAGACCTCCTCCCCTTTCATCTGACCCTGTTTTATCAGGTACTTTCAGGACTGGCTGCAAAGTCCTCCTCTGTGGCCTAGCAGGACTGCTCCTCCCTTGGGAGGTGAGGAGGTCAAAGAACCTGCCATTGAGTTCCTGTCAGAAATAGTCCCTGTTCCCCTTACTATGGAAAACCAATTGGTTACTGAGCTACCACAGGCTTCATCTGAGCAAAGGTTCTAGGTTATATCCATACATGGTCCTTGGTGGAGTGTCAGTCTCAGAAAAGACCCCTGTGCCCAGATATATTTCGTCCTTGTGGAGCTCCTATCCTTTCCATGTCATACTAACTCCCCTTCTTTCATATGATTCCCTGCACTCTGCCGAAGGTTTGGTTATGAGTCTTAGTATCTATTTTGAAACACAGCTAGATAGTCTTTCAGATGCCTTCTACGATAGACTCCTGTCATACGTCCAATGCACGTCCCATTTGTCTTTCTAAGTGAGGACTGATCATCTTACCCCGTGTCCACTTTCTTGTTTATCTTCTTTAGGTGTATAGACTTCATTATGAAACCTTCATCCTAATTGCACTTTGTTATATCTCTCTCCCCACAGGTCTAATTCTGTGCTTACCTATCTGGGATCAGCCACCTGATGAATATTGCTTTGATGATTCTGTTTATTGGAAGGTAATGCGCAGGGTTCACAAAAAGAATATAAATGATGGCTCTGTTCAGGTAGCCAAGGACCCTTTTGCTCCTCCACATCAAAATTATGGGTAGGCAAAGAGGAGCTCTTCAAATGTTTGTCTCTAGCAATATCTGTTCTTTTCTGTTCAGTGACATCTGCAGCGACAGCAGCTAAGTAGAAATGATGGCAAGTGCCCTCTAGAGTTACAGTCTTTATGCAGGATTAGAGTATCGGGACCTTTTGGGGTTTTAATTACCTACCCTTAGCAGCAGCCAGTGTTATTGTTCTCATCCTTAGCCTAGACCCTTGGTCTAGGAGACTTGTTCATGCTTCTGAACGCTTATGATGACCAGGCTTTTAGATTCCCTTTTCTGGCTCCCCATAAACTTTTCTTCTCAAGTCTTATCTCTGCTTTCTGGTCATCTCTCTCTCTACTTCTGCCAGCCATCTTCTTCTACCTTGGCTACCTTTGACCTAGCCAACTGCCTCTTCATCTGAGACACTCTCCAAACAACTTGGCTGCCAATGGCATGACTACCCAGAGTGCCATCCTTTGGCATTTGGTTTTTGGTACATGCTAGAACCATTCAGGTATCAAAGCTACTTTGGGAAGCAGACACTGGGCACAAATTAGACCTCTTGGTAGCTGGGTGCTCAAAACCAGTCTCTGAAGAGAAGCCAGACCTCTCTGGGGACCCAGTCGGAAAGCAGACACTGCTTATCACACTCTTCTACTAAATCCACTTGAGTCCTCCTGCTGGGTCCACCGCTGCATCTCCAACCTTCCAGCAGCTGGCTACCTTGCTGCTTACCCACTTGAGCGGTCAACTGTTAAATTCTTGATCTCATGTCAGCTGTGGTGGTACACATCTATAATCTGAGCCCTCTGGAGGCAGAGGCAATGGGATCTCTTGTGAGACTGAGGCTAGCCTCAGTCTACATAGTGACTTCCAGGACAGCCAGGTTGTGTAGAGAGGGACCCTGTACATGATTATACAAAAACTCAGTGTGGGCACACACGTACGCATGAATTAAAATAAATAAATTAATAATAATGAATATCAAAAGCTAAGATACTTTCCAAAGCAGAAACTAAACAAACATAGAATGTAACCAACAAATATAATTTCTGCTCTTTTACACCAATTTTTAAAGGTAAAATTATGGGTCAATAGCATGATGTATTATATTCAAGGTAAAAGTAGAAAAAAGCAAATGTACTGTGTAAGGCTGAAGGCTTTGAGTGAGCACACATTGAACGGCTCTCTAAGAAGCTTCAGCTTCTTTCCTTCCATCCCTCACATTTTGCCTTTCAACTCCACTGTTGCTTTCTCTCAAAGCATTATTATTATTATTATTATTTATTATTATTATTATTATTATTATTATTATTATTATTGCATATATTAAGTGTCATAGATGCTTCCACAGATTATTAGGAAAACTGGGTTTGGGAAATAGGGAATGAACTTAAAGTTGGTGAGATAAATAATTTGTTTTTATATTATTTTAATTCACCATTTTTCTAAGCTTAGATGATAATTACAGAAAATGCCTTTGCTTCAGTACTAACTCTTGACAGGCCTAGTAAAAGAACCATTCAGTGTCACAGTATCACTTTTGTTTCTCAAGGTTCCCAAGGTCAGAGAACTTGATGATCACTTCTTTCAACATGCGAATCACAACCACGTGGAAGAGGAAGTCTAAGTGCCTTTTCTAAAGTCAGCATCCATGAAGAGTCAAATTTTAAAAAACAAAACTTTAGTATCAGAGAGACAGGGATGACAGGCTTCAAATGGCCAGTGTAAAAATGCCTTCATATTTCATATTATTCCCTGATGTTCAAATGATGTCTCAATTCACAGGAAATTGCTCTATCCCAGACTCTGAGAATGACTCTGCAAATGGATAGGTGCCTAGTAAATAAATGATTGTATACTTGATATTTTGAAAAAAAAAGAGATAAATGATTGTATATTTGATATTTTGAAAAAAAAAGAGATAGATTTACATAGAAATCAATACTTCTTGATCATGTCAAACTTTATCCACTTTTTAGATTAGCTTTTAACACAGCATCTTTGTGTGTGTGTGTGTGTGTGTATATGTGTGTGTGTGTGTGTGTGTGTGTGTGTGCCCTTAGCTTGTCCCTGTTCATTCCCCTTTCCACTGCACTCTCTCATAATTCCTCACCCCCTCCAGATGTGTCCCTTTCTTCTCCCAGATTGGCATTGCTTGTTTTAGTACAGGCATTCCAGTCGCATCCCTATAACTTCTTAATGCACGTACATGTCTTCATTTCCAAACAGTATAAAGCTGACGTCAATGAAATGGCATACTGAAGAATCTATGCTAAAAAAAAAGGAAAGAAAGAAATATTTGTAAATAAAAAGTAACATTAATGTTCTAGTTAGCCTCTTTTTAAATCTTAAAAACAGTCATTGTAATGTTATACTGTTGCTTGCATTTTCTTATTTTTTTATTCCTTTTTATGGTTGTTATTGTAATAAGAGCTTAAAAGATACCTGTATAAAATTTCAAGTAATTAAATATTGTTATAAAATAAGGTATTTTTCCTTAGATGTCATTTATTTGGTGATTGAAATACATTTTTGGAACAAGCACGTATATATACAACTCATACTTAGAGCATATTTCATTTAAAACATTACTTATATATTCATTATAAAAACCAAGTGACCTTTGCATAGTTCAGCCTGTAAAGGACTGCATTTAGAAATGGTCACTAGCACAGACACATTAAACCATATTTATAAAAATGAAGTAACATTTTTTTTTTTTTAGACAGGGTTTCTCTGTGTAGCCTTGGCTGTCCTGGACTCAGTCTGTAGACCAAGCTGGCCTTAAAGTCACAGAGATCCACCTGTTTCTACCTTCCTGAGTGCTGGGATTACGGGACTGTGCTACCTCGCATGACCCAAGTAACATTTTCTATGTTTAGAGCTTTCGATATTTTTCTTCCATCCCCCAGTCCTGAAATCTTAACAGAAAGCACCTAGGTACCAAAAAGGAAATGAACCCTGCCACAATCAATGGGACTTTCCTTTGTGACAGACAGAACTTAAAAACTATGGACAAATGTGGATTATTTAATATTTTACTTCAGGTAAAATGTTTCTAGGTCATAAACACATTGTGTGTCATGCAAGTGACTTCTGACACCATACTATCTTCTACATGGGTTTTTAAATGTGTCATATAAGCAAAATCCACTATCCCATCCCCTGATGACTTTCATAAAGAAACATCATCATTGTTATGGTAATCAAGGTTTCTTCAGCCTCCATGGATCACAGAGAAAATTTTGGAGGGTCTGGGGACACTAAGTTATAAAAGAATTGATCTGACTGCTCAGAAAGTGTGCTGTGATGGCATTGATGTCTGGCTTGTGAACACTGTCCCAGACCTTTTTTCAAGACAGGTGTTAGAACACTAAAATTTCATTTGCCTTTCTTTTTGTGGGAAGAATATTTTTATTAGGAACAAATAACAAAGCATAGTCTTTGGAAAATTTGTTTAAAGTTACTGTAGTGAATCTCTTTCGTAATTACCATTTTATTATATCTCTAGTTTTTCCTTTGTCATTATTCTTTATCATCCAAGTTTACGGGGGGCAGGGGAAGCTGTTGACATTAGAAAGGGCACAACATAATTCATCACTTTGTGAGTCTTTGATGAGTTGTCCAGAATAACATATAAAAAAAAAAAACAATGTTTTTTTATTTCATGGTGGGGAAACAAAATCTTGCCATATTAATAGATAGAATCAAAGGTATGGCATATACCTTTTACATCTATTTTCTCTGAAAGTTAGCAAATTATTTTAATGTGAACATTTATGTTTCCCACTCAAATAAATTCATGTTTAATGTTTGGTAAATTGGCCCTGAGTTTATCATGACATTCCCACGGAAAGCCTCTTGTCCCAGTCTTCTACCTTCCCCAGTTTATTCACTTCATCCACCCCAGTTATGCTCTGATTGTTCAAAACTAATCTGTATTTGTAGATCCAACAAAATTTTAAGTGCATTTCTTCTGGGTATGCACAAGTGTGTGTGTGATATACTGAAAACTTAATTACCCTAATCATGTTTATTTGCAAGAGTGGTTTTACATCAGGTAAAAAAAAGTGTTTTTCTTAGTTCAAGTCTAAACCCTATTTTGTTTTGTTTTTATCACTTAATTAACATCACTTTTACACCATCTCCAGAACAGAATACAATAAGGCAAATCTATTGCATCAGTTCATGGGTTAGAATAAAATTTCAAGATCTATTTAGATGATCAGTTTCAGGAAGTTTTTGTTATTCCTTGATTTAAACTAAATCTGAAGGCCTGACCCAGAATTAATGGATGCAATTTCAAACCGGTTTGTGAAATTTAAGATATGTTCAGAATTTTCCAGCCCTTGTTTTGATAGCCTGCAAACTGGGTTCTGCGTTAGATAAGAAAGGTCTGCTGGTTGCGGCCCAGGAGTTTTAGCAATTGTTCTACTGCAAGGGACCTCCTTTAAGCACATTGCTTATTTACTTTGCCGTTTACTGGAGGTCCAGCTCACACCACTGAAGTACCTTGAGTAGCTGATAGGAAGGCAACCACGGATAGTGGTACAGGCTTGCAATCCCAGCACTCAGGAGGCAAGGTGGGAAGATGTAAAATTCAAGCCAGCCTGAGCATCATAGTAAAAGCCTCTCACAAACAACTGAACCACAAAAGAATGAGGGTGACAAAAGAACTCTCTTCTGAATAAATCAAACATCTGCCCAGTAGCGGGGTACAATTGTCCTGGATTACCAGCTAAAGAGAAATATATATATATATATATCTGTGATCTTTAACACAGGAAAAGGTTGTAAATTCCCTGCCATCATGCACATTTGAAAAAACATGTTCTTGACTAGACCTTCTAAGACTCACAAAAGATCAAAATTCTCACTACTATCCCAGGGACTCAGTTGAGCACATCTCACTCCCATAAGTGATCCCAAGGAATCTAATTAGTGTGAGATTGTGTGTGTTTTATACAATATGCATGTGCATATGTGCCTGAGCACACTTACAGAGGCCACAAGACAGTTTTGTGGAGTCAGTTCTTTCCGGCCACCGTTTGTGAAAGGGATCGAACTCAGGTTGCCATGCTTGTATATCGAATGATTTTATCCACTAAGGCATTTCACCTCCCCCACTTGTCAATGCAGGCAGAACACTGTATACATAATAAACAGATAAATCTTAAAAAGAGGGAAAAACAGAAAAGAAAATAAAAATAGGCCAGTCATTGGGGGTAAACTTCCTTAATCCACTCGGGGAGGCAGGGGCAGGTGAATCTCTGTGAGCTCAAGGCCAGTTCTGGTCTACAGAGTGAATTCCAGGACAGCCAAGTCTACATAAAGAAATGTGTCTCAAAAACCAGAGAGGGGGGCTGGGTGTGGTGATACACAGACCAGCAGATCTTTCTGAGTACAGCTTTGTCTACATAATGAGTTCCAGGATATCTAGGGCTATACAGAAAAACCTTGTCTTGAAAGAAAGAAGGAAAAAAGAAAGGAAGGAAGGAAGGAAGGAAGGAAGGAAGGAAGGAAGGAAGGAAGGAAGGAAGAAAAGCTGAACATAGAAAACTACACCGAAACATGACACCACATGAAATATAAACATGTATGTATGTACCTGCACACACACACACACACACACACACACCTTTAAGTCTACCTAATCTGCTGAAGGAGGTGTACATCATCTGATGTTCACCCTTTGGCTTCAAGCCACCCTCCGTGATGGTTAACCTCCATTGTCAATTTGACTAGATTTAGAACTACCTGGGAGATGCACTCCTCAACTTACTGATACGGTGCTTTCAGAGAACATTTAGAGAACTCACCCAGAATGCACACAGCATCATTTGATGGGTTAGGTTGATAGAGTACAGAAGGAAACATTAGGAAACCAAGCACTGGGCACTCATTTCTCTGCTTCTGGAATCCTGACACAATATGACCAGGTGCCTCACTTTCCCACCACCATGCTTTCACTTCCATGGTAGATCCTTTCCTCTCAAGCCAGGAACCAAAATTAGCCCTTCCTTCTTCAAATTGCATTTGTCGGATGTTTTGTGATGCCAACCTCAAAATAACTCTGAAGTTTCAATCCTTCTGATGCTTACTTACACAGGAAAACTTGAGGCCCTTTGCAGAGTAAAAACCCTCATTTGCAAATTCTTGAATCTGTTGTCTGTATCATTTGTGAACTGTACTATCATGTTTATTAAGTCTCTGTCTTGGATGTCTAAGTATGTATGTATGTGTTGTCCCTGATGAAATATTTGAGTTTCGTTTTCCAATTTTGTTCTTTCATATACTTTTGGTTGTCTGGAATGATTTTCCATGACACAACAGTTTTTACTAAGGCATGTGTCACAACAGAACTGATACTACTGAAAGCTACAAGTCTATGCAAATATGTCTCAAGTAAGTTCAACACCGTAGAAATTATTCTAGTATTTTCTATGATGGAATCTATTTCCTCGATACAAATCTGGCTCCTACTACTCTGATTGTAAGTATTTGATTGTTCAGGCTGTCTTGTAGAACAGATCTCTCACCATCCACATTTAGGCTTCCCTTGTGTGCGTGCCTTTGTACCCTTTGGCAGGCTTTGGCATCCACATCACCAGGCTGATGCCTATATCC